TGTATGTGCGACTGTTGAGCGCGTGCTAACGGTGACCATCCGCAGTTCTTTTGCAACGTGCATTTCAAAGCATCAAGGTTACCGGTCGTAGAAGCCTAGTAATATGAGCTCATTCTGAGCATGCTGTAAAGTTTCGATGCGAAACTCAGTTGACGGGGTTCCTCCCTCGGTGGAGAGCAAGCAGGAGACAGGAAACACTTTTAAGAATTTAATACTGCTGGCTGAACTGGTCGCCGTCGTCGGGTCGCTTACTGAGGGGGTTGTTGCACAGGTCGACGGGCTGTGTCGTTCTCGTCTGTCATGGGGAGGTCCAGGGCTGCGTCGTTCTCGTCTGTCATGGGCAGGTCCAGGGCTGGCAGCTCTCGGGCATGTCACGGGCTGGCGGCGGCTGTCGAGCAGCTCGCTGGTAGCGTTCCCGGGCACCCGCCGTCCAAGGCAGGCAGCGTCTTTTTGGGGGTGGCTCGTCCGTTCGTGCTCGGGACCAAGTGCCCGCTCCCGCGTGCCACCCGTCCGTTTTCCCTTTTTTCCCTTGCCCTCGCCTGCCGCGGTCACGCTCACTCTCGCCCTGTTTCCGCCGAGGCCCTCTCCACCGGTGACCCTGATGACGTCACCGCGTTTTCCCCGTGACGACACATTTCGCTACTTCAACCCGCCGAGACCTGTTCTCAAGGTCGACCCCGCGCCGCCATCGGCCCGCACCCCCGCGATGCGGCTCCTTACACTCGCCCATATTTTTTTTTTTCGAGATTAGTGAGTCAGTTTTGTCCTGTGCTAGAAAATCACGAGACACAGCACGTTCACCTTCATGCATTGGTCTTAACGTTCGACCGGTATGCACGTTCCCGCGACACAGCACTGACACCTTGCTCTCAATGTTTGATCGTCATGCTTCGCACCACAAAAGCCCACTCCTAAGCTCCCCGACAACAACACAGTCCAGCCTTTTTCGCTCCAAACGAGGTACCTACGACGTTAGCCAACATTTGGGAGGGGATGAGCGACAGGCGATCCTTCTATGACCCCCCCCCCGCCCCCCCCTTTTGCGCGCGCACACACACCTGAACGAAAATAGAGACACAATACAGTTTCATTTTCCACATGACCTAGTTCCTGCCTTTCCTAGGTTCCTTCGCTACTCGGAGGTGCATACGACATTCCCCAAATTCTCTCGTCAATCTCAATTACAGCGCTTGGAGAAGGTGTAAACTGCGCAGGTGGGGTCGACGCGGCTGCTTGTCCCGAATGCGCACTGTCGGGCGGCAATTCTCGGCGCTCCCAGTGCTCAGCTGCCTCCCACATTACTGCAGCATCGTTCTCATCTATTCTACTGGTTTCTGGTACCGCCAGAGGTTCTGTCGCATCAGCCTGCACCAGAGAGGCGCTCCCGTCCTTGGTGGGACAGGGCCCCTCGGGTGCCGCCCTTTTCAAGCGGTTGACATGCACTGTGGTAACCGACCCCCTTTTTATCTCCTTTACCTGAGCCACTACCGGCGTTACCAGTCTAGTGATCCGGTATGGGCCTTTCCACTTCTGGCCTAGTTTCTGTGATAGCCCTTTCCCCGGGTAACGGACGTCTACATACACTCGGTCGCCCTCCCGAAATTCTGGGCTTTTCGTCTTCCGGTCGTACTGGGTCTTTCTGCAAGCCTGAGACTTTCGCAGAGCCTCCCCCGTGACCTCGTGAGCCGCCCTCATTCTCAGTGTCAATTCTGCTCGATAGTCCTCCAAACAGGCATACTTAGGGACACTTGGAGCGTCAAGGATCTCGTGAGGGAGCCCCGGGTCTCTCCCATGGCACAGATAGAAGGGTGTCTCTTCGGTGCTTTCGTGAACTGCAGTGTTATATGAAAACAACACGTAGGGCATCCACAGATCCCAATCCCTCTGGTCTCGTGCGACGAGATGGGAGAGCAGTCCCTTGATGGTTTTGTTTAGTCTCTCCACCGCCCCGTTCGATTCGGGGTGGTAAGCTGTAGTTGTGAGCTTCTTAATACCGAGCAGTCTGCACGTCTCTTTCATTAGACCGGAAACAAAATTCGTGCCCTGATCTGTTAGAAGCTGCTGAGGTACACCGTGCCTTAGAACAATCCGCTCCACAAATGCCCGAGCCACAGTCTCCGCCTTCTGATCTCTCAAAGGCAAGGCTTCCGCAAATTTAGTAAAATGATCCACGAATACCAGGACGTACTTATTTCCCTCAGTGGTGATGGGCAGCGGGCCAACTACGTCGAGGGCCGTTCTCTCAAAAGGCTCATTGACCTCACCGAAAAGCTCCAGGGGCGCTCGTCGTCTCTGACCCGACTTTCGCAGCTGGCACGACTCACAGGAAGCGCAATAGCTCTTCACGTCGCGGTGCATCCCTCTCCACACATATTTCGCCGTGATTTTTCTGAGAGTCTTTTTGAAGCCGAAGTGCCCCGAATAAGGGGCGTTGTGATAGGCATACAGTACCTTCTCGACCAGGCTCTTTGGAATTACAGTTCGTTCCCGTGTTCTGCCCTCCTCCTGTCCGTTTCCTCCTTTGCGCAGTAGACCCATCCTGTCCCGAAAGTAGCCCTGATCGTCACTATCATCGCCTGCCAGTCTGTCAGATATTTTCCTTAGCTCTGGGTCCTTTTCTTGTTCGTCCCTAATAGTACCGTCCTCAAAAACGGGTACAAAATTCAAGACGGCGCCAACGGTGGAGGGGGGATCTCGGGCACGACTGAGGGCGTCGGCGTTGGTGTGACCACTTCCGGGCTTGTGGATGATCTCATAGTCGTACTCCTGCAGTTGCAGGTTCCATCGGGCGAGGCGTGATCCCGGGTCTCTTACATTCATCAACCAGCGCAGGGGTCTGCAGTCCGTGATTATTTTGAACCGGCGACCGTACAGATAGCACCTGAAGTGCCGTGTAGCCCAAATCGCCGCCAAACATTCCTTTTCGGTGGCGCTGTAGTTAACTTCAGCCTTGTTCAACTGTCGGCTCGCGAACGCTATCGGTCTTTCTATACCGTCCTTTACCTGAGAGAGGACGGCCCCCAATGCGTACTGGGAAGCATCCGTGGCCAAAATAAAAGGGCTCCCGAAGTCCGGGTACCCGAGAACTGGAGCGGTGAGTAGCCTATCTCTGAGTTTGCAATAAGCGCCTTCTTCGCTGTCCCCCCACCGGAATGTGGCGTACTTCGATGTCAGTGCGGTCAGAGGTTTGGCAATTTTGGCGAAATTGTCAATAAATCTCCTGTAGTACCCCACGAGGCCCAAAAACTCTCTGATCTCCCTAACTTTTGTCGGTCTGGGAAAGTTCCGAATTGCCTCCTCCTTCTCTGGGTCGGGCCTTACCCCATCCGCAGAAACGATGTGACCCAGGTATTTAACCTGTGATCTGAGGAACTGGCATTTTGATGGCTTTAACTTCAGCCCGGCCGCCCGCAGTCTCTTCAATACTCGCTCGATGTCCCTCAGATGGCTGTCAAAGTCCCGGCTGTATATGATTATGTCGTCCATATACACATGACAACTCTGCCCAATTAGTCCCTCGAGGATGACGTCGGCGGTCCTCTGCCAGACGGCCGGACTGTTAACTAGTCCCATCGGCATTCGGTTCCATTCGTAGTGGCCGGAAGGGGTATTGAAGGCCGTTTTGTTTTTGTCCCTGGGGTCCATTTCTATCTGCCAGAAGCCGGCTGCTAGATCCACGACGCTGAAGTATCGGGCAGACCCAAGCTGGGCAAGGGTCTCCTGTATGTCAGGAATTGGATACGGATCGACCCGTGTGACCGCATTGAGCCTACGGTAGTCTACCACGAGTCTGGAAGAGCCATCCGGCTTCTCAACCAAAAGGGCCGGCGCACCCCAAGGCGACTTAGACGGTTCGACAATGCCTTCCTCCTCAAGGTCCCGAATCTGCTTTGCCATGTCGTCTCGCTGTGAATAAGGAATTCGGTAAGCCCGCTGATATACAGGAGCATCGCTTGTCGTGTTGATTCTGTGCTTGATGACATCACACCGGCCCAAGTCTAGCTTGCTCCTCGCAAAAACAGCGCTATACCCGTTTAGCAACGACTCTAGGCGCCCCCTTTCTTCTGCCTGTATGTGGCTTAATTCGAACAACGAGGCGACATTCTCTTGGTCACTCCCGGACTCAGCCACTCCGCGGACTGAATCAACTTCCGCCTCCCTCGCGCTGTGGAACCTCCCAACCGTCTTGTTTCTGGGCAACGACAACGGCTCGCGGCTGAAGTTTATGAGCGACACAGGGACCCTTGAGTGCTGGTCAACCGTAACCAATGCCCCCTTAGCTGTCACCCCGTGGGTGTGGAGACTGGTCTCCTCCAAAACTCCCAGTTCTCCCTCTGGTACATCCACTTTTACCCAGCAGATTATCTCCGACAAAGGCGGCAGCACACAAGGTGCACTCAAACGGACAGGAACGCCAGAAAACAGTCGTTGCGCCGCGCCCCCGGCTCCTTTGTTCTCCCGCCAAAATGGGACTTCGTCACCCCGCACCGAGAGAGCACCTCGGCTGACGAGCACGTCGATGTTGTGCTCCGACAGAACATCTTGACCCAGGATGCCATCGAGCGGCAAGGCGGTGTCGTCAGAAATTATGAAACAGGGGTGCTCAAAGCGGTGCTCAAAGCGGTGCCTTCCCAGAGCAAGTTTCAACCGATAGCATCCCCGAACGTCAATCTGTCCTCCCGAAATGCCATGAAACCTCTTGTTTGCATGCTCGGGGCAGGGTCTCAAGTTTTTGTCTTTCATTTTTCCGAGCCCCACGGCTTTGAGCAACGTGACGCGGGAGCCGGTGTCAACCAAAAGTCGCATGTTCGTCCCGTTAATCTCACATTCCACAACGGGGCTCGTTTCCTCGGAGTACCTCAGAATAATCGTCTCTGTCTCCCCTTCGACCTTGGGACCGGCACCCGACCTTCCATTCCTCTTCGACATCGCTTGCCTTCTTTCCCCCTCCCTCTTTCCCTCCCCATCCTTCGAGCTTGGGACCGAAGAATGAGGGGGAGCTACACGTTTTTTGGCGCCGTGTCCGCCATCGACGCGCCCTCAAGGCCACTCCCCGATTTCCGGGAACGGCATTCACGAGCAAAATGGCCGCTTCCCCCGCAGGCAAAGCAGCCCGTGTAGCGACGCCTAGGAGCTCTCTGTAACCTTTGTTCACGTTCTTCCTTCTCAGTGAGGAGCTTTTCTAGACCCGCCAATCTTTCTTTAAGCTGCGTTAGTTCGTCCGTCTCCACAATTCTCACGTGTTGAACCTGATTGACCAGATTTTCATTTGCCTCTTCCTCTGACGCTATTTCAACCGCTTCCTCAAAATCTTTAGGCCGATGCGACAGCACCAGCCGGCGAACAGGATCACGAAGCCCCTGTACAAACTGTGAACACAACTGTTCCCTCATCATCTCTCGAGCAATTTTTGCTCTCTGTTCATCCTTAGCTGCCGTACTGCCTTCCCATTTCCTACGCAGTGTATCTGAACCAAGCGCCTGTATACGCGTGGCGAACGTGCGAACGTCTTCATCATGTTTTTGAGAAGCCTCTGCGAAACGCTTTAGCTTTATGTTGAGCGGCTCGGTGTCATATCTCGCCGTGAGGACGCCCCTGAGCGCATCGAACGTTTTCGCTTCCTTAGCCTTTTCATCTCGCCAGACAAAGTCGTATGCGCCCCCCGAGACGCGGCACCTCGCCACTCCAAGCTTATGTTTGTCCTCCCACGCTCCCATCAACGCAACCTGCTCAATGGTATCCAAGAAATCGTGGACGTTAACTCCCTTTCCATCCCCGGAGAATACTGGCACCATAGTATTCAGAGCCAGCACACTGGGTCCCATCGCGACTGCCTGTTCTATGCTCATCCCGCACCAAAATGCTCACGATCCCGTCTCCAGCCTGCTCTCTCCTTAGACGGGGGTGTTTCTGTCCCGTCAAATCCCGAAGGAGTTAGGATCCCACCGCTGCCACCAATGTAAAGTTTCGATGCGAAACTCAGTTGACGGGGTTCCTCCCTCGGTGGAGAGCAAGCAGGAGACAGGAAACACTTTTAAGAATTTAATACTGCTGGCTGAACTGGTCGCCGTCGTCGGGTCGCTTACTGAGGGGGTTGTTGCACAGGTCGACGGGCTGTGTCGTTCTCGTCTGTCATGGGGAGGTCCAGGGCTGCGTCGTTCTCGTCTGTCATGGGCAGGTCCAGGGCTGGCAGCTCTCGGGCATGTCACGGGCTGGCGGCGGCTGTCGAGCAGCTCGCTGGTAGCGTTCCCGGGCACCCGCCGTCCAAGGCAGGCAGCGTCTTTTTGGGGGTGGCTCGTCCGTTCGTGCTCGGGACCAAGTGCCCGCTCCCGCGTGCCACCCGTCCGTTTTCCCTTTTTTCCCTTGCCCTCGCCTGCCGCGGTCACGCTCACTCTCGCCCTGTTTCCGCCGAGGCCCTCTCCACCGGTGACCCTGATGACGTCACCGCGTTTTCCCCGTGACGACACATTTCGCTACTTCAACCCGCCGAGACCTGTTCTCAAGGTCGACCCCGCGCCGCCATCGGCCCGCACCCCCGCGATGCGGCTCCTTACAATGCGCTACAAACAGTGCACTCAAGTATGGCGTCCAGTGAATACTTTCTATAGATGGCACTGACCAGTGACGTACCAACTTGTTTTTGAGTGGGGGGGGGGGGGGGGGGGGGCAAACCTGAACCCCCGCCCTCCCCCGGGCCGGGGGGCGGTGCCCTTGGTATTTCTTGGGCGACGGCGGACAGTGTTCGCCCTGCCCAGTGGCGGCTGTTTCAGGGGGGGCAAAGCACATGCCTTGCCCCCCCCCCTCTGAGAACTGGGGGGGAGGCAAGTGTCCCCCTTGCCTCCCCCCCCCCCCCCCCCCGGTTGGTACGCCCATGGCACTGACTGTGTAAAAGTGTCTCTTGGTTCATCTGACCCGCGTGCCCGTTCTTCTGACGTCTTGCCGTCTCTGCAGCTGGCCCGGAGTGCCGTGATCCGGCCGTGCTCACCTCGTGCGACTCGCAGACCGAGCAGTGGCCGTACTACAGCGACCCGTCGCGTGGGGTCTGCGTAGCCAGATGGCTGCTGGACCCCGGCTGCCTGGCGGGAGACAACCGATTTGAAAGCGAGCAGAAATGCGAACAGGACTGTCTCCAGAAAAGTATAAAGACCAACAAAAAAAATTAAAGCCGTTTACAACTCCCTCTAACTCCGAATTAGAGCGCAGCTCTTGAGGAGAAGGAGGGAAGGGTGCTGAGGGTCACCTGTTCTCGGGGGGGGGGGGTCACGTTTACCTTGGGGGGGGGGGGGCGTGTCACGTGTTCTCGGGGGGGGGGGGGGGGTCAGATGAAAAAATATTTCGCTAGATTTAGTGGGGAAGCTTTTCTGCTAGATTTAGCGGGAAAATTTTTCTGCTAGATTTAGCGGGGAATTTTTTCCGCTAGATTTAGCGGGGAAATTTACTCATAATGCACCGGGCGGTAACGCCGACGGCGACGGCGACGCCGCTTAAGCCGGAAACGGGTGCCTAAGAGCTGCGCTCTAAAAAACGTTACTAATGGACGCTGCTTGCACGAATGATGTTATCTGCCCCCATGGCTCGCCTCCCATCGTTCGAAATGCCACTGGTTTGAGAATGCCACTATGGTAGCTGCAGTGTACTCTAGGAAATGCATAAGTTTTAATGCGGAGCGTCTATAGATGGCGTTTCACAGTACTCTATGGAATGCACACTTTTGCAACGACAACCTAGATAATACTTCAAACGATGGGAAGCGGACTGAAGTGAGGGGGGGGGGGGGGGTACTCCCAATCTGTTACGAGTCAAGTAAGCCAATCTCGTGCTGTGAATTTATCGCGTGACCAGGCGCCCGGCCACGTGCCATTAGCCCGTTTTGAAGGTTACGTGAAACTCACGCGGCATGGGATTTGCTCCGATGCCTCTCAGAGACATCTATGGTCAATTTTTAGAGAGTTTTAGTTACGTTGTTCCGATTACTACGATAACAATACCCGATACTTCACCGCCGCTTTTGCGCATGCATCGTCGTTATCGGGTGTATCGGAGGTAACGAAACGATCAACTAAAACTTGATGATAAAGGGAAACGGACTGTAGCAGTTTCCGGATCGGCTCTCCAGCAACAGAAGAAGCGTCAGACGAGTGCTGTTGCAGCGTCAGAGTCCGGCCGGCTGGAACTCGTGCCATCACTGATGCAACACGGGTCCCAGTTGAACGCGGACGCAGCGCTCGTGTCCTCATCGGAGGGTTTTAGGGAACAGTTTCTTCCCCATCCGATGCAGTACGATGGGCCCTCCGGTACCAACTGCGCATGTGTCACCCACCGCAGAAAACTCGCACATGCGCAGTTTGTACCGTAGGGCCCATCGTTCCGTATCAGACGTGCAAAAACATTTCCCGAAAACTCTCTACTGACCGAAACACGAGCCCGCTCTGATCGCCGACGCAACACTGCTGTCTGTCCCAACTGTGTCTCACACGCTGTCCTCCACCAGGTGGCGTAGAAAATTTAGCACCGCGACCTCGTTTACAGCCATTGAAACAGCCTACGGTTAACTAGTACGTTAAGCCGCATGCAGTCACGCCGCTACTACCTCGTACAAAAGACAGCCTGCCGACACTGTCCGAGGTCATATCGGAGGTACAAAATCTATCAGCAGATATGTTTGTACTGTACGAAGTAAACATGATTTGAATATGCTTGATTCTTAAGGTGAGGGTATCGCCACGTCTGTCGCGAACACAGCGCCTTTTGTATACGATGTAGACCGGTGCAACTGCGACTTAAAAAATCGGCCGCTTTCACATAATTCCACTCGAGTATGTAGAAAAACGGCTTTCCGTCCTCCAGAAAGATTACGAAAATCCGCGAAATAGTCAAGTCACATCGCTCGAAGTTCCCGACATCCTATTCATATATAGAACAACTCAACTCTCTGACGTCACGGCACTGTGGTGGCGCTGCTGTCGGCAGCGCGCATGCGCAGAAGCTTCGTCTCGCGAAAATCTGAAGTTCTGCGCATGCGCCGACGGGCGAATAACGCGGGCTTGCTTGTAAACAGTGCGTTGCAGTATAGAGCTGCCACCCACCAAGAACTCGGCGAATGGAGTGGCCTGCGCTCTAAGCATGGCTTGCTTATTGGCGTGGGTGGTATGTTGGGCGAGTGGACGTGGTTGTGGTAATACTTCACATATAGGGCAAAGGGGACGCAGAAATTCCACAGAGCTGTGGCCAGTGCAACGCCTCCTAAATACTAAGGTCACGCTGGAATTTCTCTCCCCAACGGGGACAGAAATTACGGACGCTACGTCAATAACAGATTGGACAAGACGGCAGCGTTCCGTCAGTGAGAGTACGAATCGGACCGCTGACGCAGCACCGGTATTATGTCTCGCGCAAGTTGAACCCGCAATCTCCGCTTCTCGGTCTCCCCGCCGCGACGTCACAAACACCAGTCGGTGTGTGTGCACGTTCACAAAGTGCCACAAACTGTATTCTTACGGCGGCAGCTGTTAGTTATCCTTTCCGGCGCAATCCGGTGGTGTCCATACGCAAAAATCCACGTGATCGCGGGACGCGCCGTCCTATCGCCGCTCCGCTATCGCCCTGTCCCCATCGCCCTTCGCACCACTAGACCCGCTACCTTTCCCCCTCTATTTTTGTCTCTCTCTCTTGCCCCCTCCCCCTCTTTGGCTGCCTACCGCACAGCGGCAGATTCGAAACCATGGGCGTACCAACCAGGGGGTGCAAGGGGACGCTTGCCCCCCCCCCCAACCCAGTTCTCAGAGGGGGGAAGGCATGTATTTCGCCCCCCCCCCCCCCCCCCCCCCCCCCCCCCCCCCCCCCCCCCGCCCCCCCCGAAACAGTCACCACTGGGCAGTGCAAACACTGGCCGCCGGCGCCCAAGGGATACCAAGGACACCGCCCCCCGGCCCTGGGCCGAAGGGGGGTCTCGTTTGCCCCCCCCCCCCCCTTCAATAACAAGTTGGTACGCCACTGCACGAAACACTGCCGTCGCCGCTTTGGGGTTTTCGAAAATTCGCCGGCGCGTCTTGCACATCTCCTACAACCATCGTACTAAACGCAGAGTTCCTAAAGCAAATTACACATGGACCAAAAGCAAATTTTCTCAACAACGCAACAGTTGTCGCTCTCAAACGCAGCAATCTTTGTGTGCTCGTTTGCAATTTTCTTTTCCTTTTTTTTTTGTGTGTGTGTAACAAAAACGTAATGACATTCTTCTAGTGCCGAGGGACAAGGGCTGCTCGGCCAAGGTGGAAGCCAAGCTCTGTCAGGAAACTGATTTTCTGACGAGAGATTACGCCTACGCCTTCGAGCAGGGCAACTGCACCAAACAGACGGGTCCCCTCTGCCTCTACGGAGGCAACCGATACGCCGACCAAAGCGACTGTCTCAAAAGATGCCAGTCAAAAGGTGAGCTCCCCGTACGCGCTTCGAGGAGTGCCGTCGTTCACGAGTGCGCTCCTGTGCTGAGCGCAAGTTGGTCTGCTTCTTTTGCAGGGGTTGAGGTGACGTCAGAAAGACGCCGAGCTCTGATTGGCTCTGATTGAAGGATAGTGGGTAGACATCAAAGCAAACTGCCTTGCTTGGTCGACACGAAAATTTCTTCCTTATAGACGCTTTGCAGCAGCTGTGCATGGGCGCCGCCATAACTGACCTTCAGTTTTTGTTTCCTCTTATTGAATTTTCTTCACTTCATTATTACCATAGCAGGCAAGGTTATTGCCATCTTAAATTCTATTGCGTCCTTCTACCCAGCATTGACCTTTCTGGAGGCTCGTCAACAACCGTTTGAGCGGCTCGGCATATCCATAAGACAAAAGGTCAGCAA